CTAATAAATAATTTATATGACACTGCGCCGTCTTAATCACAAGAAAATGCCATTTTAAAATTTGTATTCAGGTGATGCAATACTTTTGAGCGCCACTGTATGTATGCTTTAATAACAAAATGAAAAAAGGCATGCTATACATACATTACTAACAGGTTTGCTATATTCCCACAACGGATGATTACAAGATTACTAAAAATTAAAGAATACTGTGTTATTAAATAAACTTTCGAAATTTCGATAATAATGACGCCAGAGTATATATGATGTAAATATGAAATAAGAATATTTTAGTTCAAATGCAAATTTTTATATAAATATTTTCTTATGCTCGGATTTTCAAAAATAATTTCATGTCTCGAATGAACTATTACGGTCAACCCGGTCAACCCGGTCATTATAATCAATCAGGCCAACCTGGTGAACAATATTATCAATATTATCCTCCACCACCTCCAACGGATCCAAAATATGATCCAAATGCTCATCATCAATATTCACCTCATCCAGTTCCTCCACCTTCATTTTCACAATCTCAATCCATGGGAGGAGGAAGTAATATTGACAAATTCAATCAAAGACCGAAATATCGCGATTTATGTAATTATTATTATTATTTTTTTTATTATTATTTTTAAACTTATTTCTTTAAATAATATATATTTATTTATTTATTTATTACACTTTTTAGGGGCTGCTATCTTTTTCTTATTACATTTCGTTGCATTCATCGCCATGTCCGTAATCGCTTTAAGAAATTACGCAGTACTTCAACGTAGTGGAGCTAAAACCGGTCAAGATGTTACATTAAATTGGAGTATACTATGGCTATTATTAGTTTGTGTTGGAATAGGTTTCGTTCTAAGTATAATCTATTTGGCCTTGGCTCATATGTTATTATAAATTTCTTTTTTTTGCCCTCTTTTTTTTTTTTAATGATCTTACTGATTCTTATTAATTTACAGATTCCCAAGACAATTTATTAAAGGAACATTTATTATTTCAATAATATTCTATTGGGGTATAGCTGCCTATTTCTTTGTTATGTTATATTTTAGTATGGCTATTTTAACAGCTATTTTAGCCCTTTTTTATACATTATTTTGGTTTTGGTATGTATTTCAAGTTAATGTTGTTAACTTTGAAATCGGGTCGGTCAAGTTTACTCTATTTATGGCGCAGCAAGTAACAATCTTATTATTTTTTTTAGGTGGAGATCAATGATACCATTTTCGTCTGTTATGCTTAAAACTGTAACAGACATAACAAGGAAATACAAGAGTATGATTCTTGTTTCTTTTGGTGGATTATTTGCGGAGACTTTATTCTCAATATGGTGGATTTTTACATTCATTGGTAATTTTCTTTTTTTTTTTTTAAAAAAAACAAAATGTATTGATATTTATGGACGTGATTTTCGCTAACCAATTCGATTATCTGCCGCGTTTTTTGCCTTTAAATAATCAATAGCTGCATATCAAATTTGGTATCCAGAAGCTTGCAAAACAAGGCCCGGTGAAAATTTGCCCGCAGCAGGAGGAGGGTGTGAAAATGGAAAATTAATTGCTATAATTATATTTTTAATATTCTCTTACTATTGGACTTCACAAGTTATTCAAACTTGGGTACATGTTACAACTTCCGGAGTTTTTGCTACATATTATTTCCTTGCAGGAACACCTGAAGGAGTTCCTTCTTCACCTACTTTAAAAAGTGCAAAACGTGCTTCAACTACAAGTTTTGGAAGCATTTGTTTAGGAAGTTTACTCGTTGCTATTTTACAAGTTATTGGTGCACTTTTGAGAAGCGCGGCGCAGGATACCGATAATCCGTTTGGAGCTTTTTGTGCCGCTTGTGCTGCGGTACTTGTCGGTTGTATCGAATCATTATTGGTAAGAAAGTTTGAATTTCAAAGTAATTTTATCATCATTATTATTAATTTAATTAATTACCTTCGTTTTATTTTTAGCAATATTTCAACTTTTATGCTTATACGCAAGTTGCAATTTACGGAAAGTCATTCTGGGAATCTGTAAGGTTTCTTTAATCTTTATAAAGTTCTAATTACGATGATTTTTTACTAAATTTTTCTTTTGATTTGATTTAATCAAAATGAAAATATAGGCAAAGGTGAGCTGATCTTAATGCATTTATTTTGTTATTCTAAACCTTGTCTAATTTTCTTTTCTTTTCAGGATACTTGGACATTAGTCAAAGATCGTGGTGTTGAAGCAATTATAAATGATAATTTAATTGGTAACGTCTTAGTTATGGGTAATTATTTATTTAAATGTTTTAAATTTTGGAATGTAAATACAGTATATATATTTTTTTTTTCATTTTAAAAAATTGACATTTAATTCGTTTAGGTGCATTTCTCGTGGGAATTATCACGGCATTATTAAGTTATTTGTACACAATTATATTTGAACTTTCATTTAATCATAATGGAGAATTTACTCCTTTGATTGTTTTCTTGGGATTCATCGTTGGTTTTCAAATGTTGAATATCATTGGATCTGTTATATTGAGTGGAACTGCTACCACTTTTGTATGTTTAGCAGAAGATCCAAATGCTTTAGCTAGAACCAAACCCGAATTATATCATGAGGTATGTTTTATTGGTGAAAATTTATTTTTGCCAATGAAAAAAAAAATTTTAATGGAAATTTTCTTCTTTTAGATTCGTGTCACATATCCTAGTTTAGTTACTGGAATGTAATTTTCATTTTTCACATTTTTTCGTTGTATCATTTATTTATTCATGATTACAATTAGATAAATCATATAATCAGCTAATGTTTTAATTCCAAGTTTTAATATATAATTTTGATTTTAGTACTCATTAATAACAATTTCTCTCGTAATTTTATCGCTGAGTTAACCTTCCTTCTTCTCTAAGCTTTTTTCAATTAAACTCTTTTTGGATTTGATAAAAGTTCTCATCTTTTGAAAATTAAAAAAAAATTTTGAAAATTAATTAATTGTATCAAATCGACACCTTGATACATGAAATGGAATTCAAACCAAAGAAAAATACATAATAATTTAAAAGAATAATTATATCTAATACTATATTTTATTTAATCAAAATAATAGTGATAGGTTGATTTATAATTTAATAAAGAAGCTTTACAAACAGATTTTGCCTTCATAAAATGATCAAATGTAACCTATAAGTTCATTTCTAGTTAATTTAAATACGTTCATAATTTTAAAAAATATAAATAAAAAAAAAAATTTAATCAAACCGTTTCGTTATTTATATTTTCTCGAATACTTATTAATGCCGCTTCCCTACATAGATTGTCCAAATCTGCTCCTGTAATGTATGTAAGAAATGATAAATAAAGTGAATGATAAAAGATTACTAAATAAATTCTTACCAGAAAAACCATCTGTATGGTTAATTAATATATTAATTTGTTCCTCCGTTAATGAGACGGGAATTTTATGGAATTTTCCAATTAAAATTTCTCTTCTTTGCTAAATAAGAAAATAAAAAAAAATATAAATATAAATAATAATAATAATAATAATACATAGGTAATGAATTATAGATACAAAAAAAAAAGAAACAAAAACCTCTAAAGTTGGAGGAGGTATATAAATATGTTGATCCAATCTTCCAGGTCTTAATAATGCTGGATCAAGGATTTCAGGTCTATTCGTCGCTAGATATTAATGAATATTTTAATCTTTAACATTTTTTTTAAAAAAAAAAAAAAACTTGATTTTTTATAGTTTAAATACCTGCAATGACAAGAACTTCAACTTCAGGACCTTGGCTATGCTTTGAAGTAAAGAAACCATCCATTTCTATTATGAATAAAATAGATTTATGTTATTTAAATAACGAAAGTATATATAAAATTAAATTGTTGAAATACCTGTTAATAAACTAGTTACTATTCTTTCACCGGTATTTTCCGAAGTCATATTACTCGCTCGAACTGGAGCCAAAACGTCAATCTAGTAAAAAAAATTTTTATTTCAAATTATATATTGAGATAAAAGAATAAATACATAATCCGAGTTACAATCTTTCAAATAAAATTTACCTGATCGATAAACAAAACGCAAGGAGAATTTGCTTTAGCTTGGGCAAACATATTTGCAATCTTATTTTCAGATTCTCCAACTAATTTTGATCTAATTTGTGAACTCTAAAAAAAATATAAGATTATTATAAATAATTATAAATTGTATCTACAAATACAAATTGTGTGATTTTTGACTAGGGCAATTGGTTAGGACGAATAAAGGACACCTCACAAATAAAAAGGAATAATTACCTCCACGAGCATGAAATTAATTCCTGTCTCAGCAGCTATAGCACAGCAAAGCATTGTCTTTCCAACACCAGGTGGACCACAAATAAGAATTCCTTTTGGAGGAGAAATTCCGAATTGTAAGAATTCTTGGGGATTGTTGAATGGTTCAATGATAGTCATCTAAATAATAAATAAAACATTTATTATTATCAACCTATAAAATAAGTAACTTATTATTAAAAATATTACTTTTAAATCATCTATAATATCATCGATTCCAAAGATATCAGAAAATTTAATATCAGGAGTCTAAAGTCATAATTATAAAAAAGATTGTCAGAAATCTCCGAGATAAATAATAAAACAATATAAATTTTACCTTTGTCTGAAATTCGTTCAAATTTGATGGTTTAACAACTTTAAGAGCTTTTTCGAAATGGTTCAATGTAAAAAAAGCACGTGAAGGACCTTTGTTCTTTAACAATGAATTCGTTAAATACAAATTCAAATATTTGAAAAAACCTATCCGAGATAACTTTTTTTTTTTTTTAATAAACCTCATGTAAAAGTTCCATTGCAACATGTGTGCATAAACATTGTAAATCCGCAGCCACAAACCCGTGGGTCGATCGGCTTACTCTCTCCAAGATGAAATCTTTCTCTTCCACTACAGATGGAATCTCTGATTTTAAAACAATAAAACTTTTCTATAAATGGTAAAACGATTATATTCGGTATTAATGAAATAAATTCTTACTTTTGGTCATAATTTTAAGAATTTGCAACCTTTGTTCATACTTTTTGATGTTAAGTTCATAAATCTTATCAAGCCTTCCGGGACGATACAAATTACTATTCACAGCGTGCAATCTATTCGTTAATCCTTTTATAATTAATTAATTAAAACAAATAAGGATTAAATTAAATTTAAAAAAACTTATTGTCAAGATCTTTATTCTTACCAATAATAAATATTTGTCCTTTAAATGGATCTTGCCAAATATACTCATTTATTGAATCAATAAGTTTTAGCAACATTGAATATATTTTTGACTCGACTCCTAAATGATAATTTTTCAACGTTACGATCATTTAATAAAGAAACAATAATTTATATACTTTACCTGGACGAACGCTTGCTAATTTATCAGCAATCATATCAATCTCATCCATAACAATTATGGAGACACGATAACGCGTCATCGATTCAAATATTGAACAAAGCTCATTTTCTCCTTCGCCTTCACCTAATATTTATAAGTTTTTTTATTTGATCCCGTAAAAAATAATTCTTTTTATTATAACTATCTATATACCAGTCTTGAAAGTATCTGAACAATTTATAACAGTAAATGGTAAACCGGAAGATTCTAAAATAAAAAATGATTAATATCGAATCGAACATGCCAAAACATTGACTTTTTTCTAATAAGCTATACCTGATAAACATAAAGCCAAAGCAGTTTTCCCAGATCCAGGTTTTCCAGTTAATAAAATTCCTTTGCTTCTTTTAACACTTTTTCTGTACCTGTTACTCATTGCAGTAACAACAAATAGATGGACTTGTTCAATAATTTCTAAAATAATTTCATCCAATCCACCAATCTTTTTAATTACTTTATCTATCCATTGAGATTTCTCTTGAAATTTCAGATTAGGTAATGATATATTTAAAAGATCATAATCTCCTCCTTGATGCCTAATGAATTCAATTATCGTGCTCTCAGAAATTCTCGCAACAAATTCTTTTTTTGAAATATTTAACGATGGGTTATTTTGTGAAAGTGAAACATCGTTTAAACACGGTTGAATAATTTTAAAATATTGAATTCCATTACATCCATGATGACATATCCAATCATTAGGTGAAACAATTGAGCCCAAATGGATTCTCCTGAACAATGATTCTTCTAAATCATTAAATGAGTATTTAGGTTTTAATAAATTATGGTTGGATGAAAAAGGGTATAAAATAACACGTGTAGCAATTGGAACATTTTTTATCTAGGATAAGAAAAAAAATTTTTTTAAAAGACAATTATCAAGCAAATTTCGTTATAATTATATAAAGAATTACATTACCCGTTCTTCAAACCTCAGTTGTATTGGAAATTTTAAATCGCTTAAATTTTCTGATATTTCACAAATATTCAAATTAATAGCCAATAATCTAGAAATGATAACTTGTGTCTTTCCATTATTTTCAGGATCAAGAATATTACTATTTCCAGTTTCAACTGTAGGCAAACTAAATTCTAAATTGTCTGGAAATTCTTTTCTATCACGAAATAATTCTGAATGTTTAGAATATAATTTAATAGTTGCAAAACATTTTGCGTATTTTGATTCAGAAACAAGACTGATAACAGCATTGATAGGGAGCTTGGATTTAATGCACCATGAACGAGGAAACCAAATGCATGGTTTAGGAGTTCTAATATATTCTGGAATTAAAAGATTCATCTATTTATTTTTTCTTACGAAAAAAGAAGAGGGGTACATTAAAGTTATTGAATAGTTTAAACAGTTTATTTACCGGGATATAAATCATCTAAAATCGCAACAACATTAATTATTGTCATTCGTATTAGTATGTAAAGTACAAATTTAAAAGATGACGATAAAAAAGCAAAATGTCAGAAAAAAATTTGATTTATCAACAGCCGATCATTAATTGATGATCGTCCAAATTATGATCAATGTCAAAAATGAATTATTTTTGCAAGAGAAATTTTAATTTTGGTCAAGTTGGCAGATACGTAAAAAATAGAAAATTTAGTAGCCTATTATCAAAGGTAAATCAAATGTAGAATTGAGATATAATAAAAATTGAATTATTCTAATTTTTTTTAAAATTATAAAGGAGATAAAGGATCATGAAATTAAACAAATTGGTGTAATCGGAGCAGGCCAAATGGTAAATTATATTGTAATTATTTTTTAATTTAGAAGGTTTTCACACCAATTAATTGATTTTGATTAGGGATTTGGTATTGCTTTGGTAACGGCCCATATTGCTCAATTGCCCGTTAAGGTATTGGACTCGAATCCTAAACAAATTGAGAAAGGGTCATCCTTTGTAGGTACGTAACTTCACATAAACATTTCTTTTATCACCAAATCTCTAAATATCAAATCATCAAATGTAGATGGTTTACTTGAAAAGGATATCGTCAAAAATCGAATTACGCGTGATAAAGCAACGGAAACAAAATCACGCATTACGACAACGACATCGATTTCGGAATTCTCTACCATGGATTTTATTATTGAGGCCATCCCAGAGGATGTAGATTTAAAACGTGAAATTTTTACGAAATTGGATCAAATTACGAGCGATGATACTATATTGGCCACTAACACAAGTAGCATTAGCATCACGAAAATTGCAGCTGCTACGAAGAAGCCTGATAAGGTGTGCTTTTGAGAATCAAGTATGATTTCAATTTAAGATCCGGGCATTTAATTTTTTTTTTTTTTTTTTTTGAAATCATCACAGGTCATTGGAATGCATTTTATGAATCCAGTTCCTATCATGAGATTAGTGGAAATTATTCCCGGGTTGGATACCTCTTCTCATACATGTAATGTTACAAAGAAATTGGCCACCTCCATGGGAAAGATATTCACGGAATCTCAAGACGTTCCGGGATTTATTGCAAACAGATTATTAATGCCATATATTAATGAAGCAGTTATTGCCTTGGAACAAGGTATCGCTTCACGTGATGATATCGATACAACAATGAAATTAGGTACAAACGTTCCAATGGGACCATTAACTTTGGCCGACCATATTGGTTTAGACACTTGTTTAGCTATAATGAAAGTTTTGCATAAAGAGATTGGGGATACTAAATATAGACCCGCTGTATTGTTACAAAAATATGTTGATGCGGGTCGATTAGGAAAAAAATCTGGAAAAGGTTTTTATGAATATTAACTAGATGAGGTGATTAATCATCAAATGTTATTGTCTCTTAATGCGTAAAATTTATTAAATTATATATATTTTGTGTTGATTTTTAGTATAATTATATTTCTATTTTTCCTTTCTGTTCTAAATTAAATATGGTATCCTTCTCTTCCTATAGCAGTCCTGATATTTACAAAGGTTTCACCATTGCTAGTTTAGAATTTCTTGTTCACACTTGCAAATTCCTGCCCGCCTTGCGTGGGCAATTATTGGTGCATAAAAGGTCAGGGTCTTACGCTATGAGAGACCATAATAGACCTTGGTGATAAAGGGTTTATCGCAGGTTTTTCTTTTGTAGAAATGTCCCGAATACGCGCCCTTAAAGAATCTTCTCTTTAATCATTTCAACTTCAACAGTACTATTAAGGAGCCAGTTGCTATTTACATAAAGATTAAGCCCAACGTCCAAAATATAGCTAATGCTTTTCAAACATTAACAAACTGCCCGTAATTAACATCGCACAACAACTACAGCAATTACAACAAATTATGGTTAATCGCTATGTACACTCACCTAGCAAAAATGACCGACTTTACCAAAATCGGAATAATAATACATACATTAGCGTCATAAGAAA